TCTAGCATGCATTCAGTATCAGCTTCAGTATCAGCATCAGCATCAGCATCAGCAGCAACAACAACACAACAACAACCTTTTTGTCTTCTTCTATAACAACCTTTCCAACAATATCAGTTTAATGCACCACAATCCAATTATCCAATTCAAGACAACCTAATTATCCATATAAGAAATGAAATTTACATAAACTACAAAAGTCTAAGTCCAACTTCCATACCTGTTGATGACAACATCAACAATGGCTTGGATTGAATGCAACTGGCACACCCATTAATACTACCTTTTGACATAATTGATGCAATCTTTGCTCAGTCTTGGCCAGTAGTATCTGAGATGAATTCTTTTACCTTTCCATCTTCCTTGACTCTAATCTTCCCTGTAATCACCGGACTCTAGGGGTTGCATTCAACGACGTCTCTGTATGAGCCTAACAGCCAAAAGGTTGATCATTTCCATGGCGTGCTTCACAATCCTAATAGACATCAGCAAAATCTGTATTAATAATGAAAACAACCAAAATTAAAGAACTGGTACAAATTAGTAATCACAAGCATACCTTCCGTGGTAACTAACAGATACATATATGACTGCAAAAGCACTCAACAGCCAAGCGCTCCCAAAAGTTGCTCATTGTTTCGTCATTCAAGCCGTCCATTGGGGTGTTGGTCATGTCGAACTCAAGAAATTTTATTGCATATACCCCGCAATCAACACTACAATATGAGGAAGACATTAATATTACAATCAGCTTATAGAACAATTGTATTATGTAAGTTTTATACAAAATTTACCTTGCGTCATTTGTCGGGACGGGGATGTGCTTGTGTTGCCACTTTCGCATCAGTAGTTCATCGCCCAAGTGCTGAAACATGATGCTCTCTTGCAACAACCGTAGGAACAATTTACACAGCGACTCTATCTCTTTCTCCAACTGCCTCCCTCGACAAATATTGGGGTTGCAATAAAAAATCTGCAGCAAGCCCTTCTCCAATTGCTAGAAGACAGTCATCCAATGCATATCTTTGATGTTGACAATGCAGTATACTCTTTTCATATTTGCCTAACTCTTGCCATATTTGGGCCTTTCCCCTCTCACATACTGCATCATCCTCTCATCAAACCGATCACTGGCAAAGACACTGTCATACTTATTTGCAGCCATTCTTTTCCGCTTGCCTCCCTTTATGACTCCTCCATCATTGGCCTTTTTCATTAACTTCTCATGTATGCTTACTAGGCTTTGGCCAAATGACACATCGGTTATGGCACAATGCGGATAAAAATTGTCACCCTCAATGCTCTGTTGCAACGTCTTAAGTGCTAAAACCTCATCAATGTGCTACATCCCAAAAAAAAAAAAAAAAAAAAACATGGTAAGTGTCATTAAATCAAAACAGATCACTTAACCAATCTGTAAACAAAACAAATTGCTTAAGCGATCAGACGATACAAAACATAAGCAAAAATAAGGCAAAATACAGGAAAATAACTCACCGAGTCTTCAACCCAACGACCCATTGTTAAAATTTGATCAAACCACTTCCGAGGATAATCCTCGGTCTTACACTTCACAACCACATCGCTTTGTTCATCATTTTAATAGGCATAAAAGGATTTTTTTCCCTTCCTCATCTACTACCCTAAACAAATCAAGCTTTAATTGCTTCACTACCCCACTTCCTCATTGTTCCTCCGTATCAGCTTGCTTCACTTCCCCACTTTCTCCTTGTTCCTCTGTATCAACCGGTTTAGCTTCCCCACTTCCTCATTTTCTTTCGCAACTCTCCTCTTCTTTTCATACCTTAATTACATGAAAGGAGATGTCACATGCTTGCTTTTTCGAGTCTCTCTTTTCTTAGGTTGAACTTCCTCCATTTCCAACAACACATCAACCTTCTCATCCACCCTTTGCACCCTCTCTTCCAATTTATCTACCTTCTCATAGACAGTGCTTCTCAACATGTCAAACTTGTCACTTAACAAGTCAAACTTGCTGTGTAAACCGTTTATGAGGTCAACCAACTTAGATTCAGGATGCGTAGGCAAACCGGTACTTGGTGGCAAACTAATACTTGGTGTACCAGTTTGCCAATTAGAAGGAGAAGTACGAACAGGAGCCTCCATGTCTTCCTCCTCATCCATCCCGCCTACTTGGCCTTCGGCCTTAGTCACATGCTCAACAAACGACCCTTCCACTGCAATCAAATGTGTGACTCCTTCTAAGTCCCGCATTAGGCGGTCTATCTTCTCATCAAAAACATCGTCCAACAGTTTGAATGATGTAACATAATTCATCACCAATTCAGCTCTAGTAGGAGTGATGAACGGATGGACCACTCCCTGCAAAAATTAAAAAAAATCAATTAAATTTACAAAAACCATTTAATCTATTATATATTCAAAACACAAATCCTTTAATCTTACCGGAACCAGTTTAATTTCCATTTCAATTTTCTCATAGTCCTAATGGACGCTCTTTTCAGTGTGCCACTGCAACATCCTAGGAAACTACAATGCCTCATCCGAACTCCCCCTCCCCCCCCCCCCCCCCCCCCCCCCCCCCCCCCCCCCCCCCCCCCCCCCCCCCCCTCCCCGCCTTAGCCAAGACAGGGACGACCTCATATATCCAAGCCTACATTGTAAAAAATAGTTCATATCAGAATTAAAACACATATAATACAAAGAAATTAACTAAAACCTATTAATATTTACCGGCATTGCCCAAGGGAAGCAAAGCAAAGCAAATTGTATGTGTTGGGTTTCCGCTTCTCGGCATATTAGCGATATTTAATCACCATGTCTTTTCCTTGTAGGGAATCGATGGTTAACTTAAATGACAACCTCCCCCACAGATAAGAATAAAAGAAGTCCTCATTACTTGCATATCGCTCCCAATCCTGGTTTACGACTTTCGTTGAGTCATAAGCCATCAAGACTGAATGCACGAACCATACCAAGCACATTTGGAACTTCTCTGAAGAGCTATATTGATTTTCTTCCGCTTCTAACCTCTCCTTTAAATCATGACCTGTAATTGACTGTTGCCCTACGAACACCTTTCTAACAAATGTTTCAGTAGCCTTGCTATTCTTTACCCTTTCTTTAACTTCTACGTCTAGAAATGGCCCATAATTTAGGCCCGAATTCCATCATCCCAAACCGAATCGGCTTTCCATCAACCAAAAACCATATTTCATTCTTCTTTTTGCATTTAACAACGTGCACCAAAAGATATGTGCACCCTACCCCCAGAAGGCCTTACTCCAATTATCTCCCAACCCCACAAAATGACCAAAACATCAGTTTCTGAATCGCTTCATCCCTTTCTGGTGCTTACCTAGAATGTCCTTAATTTTCTTAAACACTTGCCAACTAGACCTAACGGTAACCCTTGCTGGGAAGTATGGCACAACATCATTTACAACATCAAGCCCATAAACCTTATAATTTATGCTCTTATAACATTGCACAATTGATATACACTACATATCAGTACAACAAAAAACCAAAACAAGCAACATGTTGGAGTGCATTGGGGGAGTGGCTGTTTTTGGCTTCCAAAGGTCTGTGAAGACAAGGGAGGCTGTTATGGCAGGTTCGGTGCTCTGGACTTCGCAGAAGAGAGCTGCATAATGGGGGCTCAGGGCTTGCCTGCATATTATAGGGCTAGCTGCACGTGGATAGCCCTACAATATGCAGGGCAGCCCCCTAGCCCCCCTATTCTGCTCTCTTTGCCAACAAAAGCCATCCAAACTACCACAAACAACCTCCCTAGGGCCTCCATTGGCTTCCCCAGTCCTCTGGAAGACCAAAACACCCACTTCTCCAATGCCTTCCAATTGTTCAACAAAATGCAACAATAACCCTAACAACACACCAACCAAATATCCCCTAAAACAACCAATAATTTCATAAAATATATAGATTATTACCTTTACTTCATCCTCTTCCTCCTTCTCACTTGACGTTGTGCCAACATCCTCCTCTTCATTTTCAATTTCAGCTCCTGCCCTCCCTTGTTCACCTGGCGGGCTGTCTTCTACCAGCGTCGTATTGTCTACTATTGGACCAACTTCAGTCATCAGAATTTGCTCCACTGCAACCTCCGATTCTCCAATTTTCGCACCACTCACGTCCACGATTTGAAGAGGGGCTGGCTCTTTGTCAAAATCTTTGTTTAGGTCAGCCATTGTTTCTTTTAAGTAAGAGGGAATGTCTTTAATACAAATAGTAAACGATTGCGACAATGGGTGGTGGAAAATGACAAGAAAAACGCGATGAAGGGTGGTTATTTCGTCAAGGCTTTTTTAGGGTTGATTAAGCGATTGAGTTCGCTTAATCGATTTTGATTGGAGAAGGGGGGTCCTTTGCAATTTTCACAATTTAAACAAACTTTCATTAATTATAATATTACTCAAATATGTTTAAATCTTTTCAGTTTAACCCGTTTTACATGTTTAATGAATCCTAAGTGTGCCACATCAGTTTTTTTAACTTAAAAGAAAATTACAAAAATTTTTCAAGGTTATTTTTTTAAATGCAAACTTGGGATGTCCAAGGAGTTAAATTTCCTCCCTTTCTTCTCTTCTCTTCTTCTTCTCCACACAAAACCTCTCTCTGTTCCCTTTGTCTTTGAACAAAACAAGCCAAGTTCTCTCATCTCTTCTCTTATCTTCTTTTTCCCACCACAAAACCCTAGCCAAGAGAAACGAAGAACACCCTATTGTATATCTCTTTTCTTCTCTTATCTTCTTCTTCTCCTTCTCCTTTTTCGCATTTATTAAAGAAGGATTTGTGCCGAATTTTAAAAAATAGTAGGAAGAATTTGAACTTCTGGCCAAATTGATTTTTTGTATGAATAATGAAGATTTTTATGCCAAATTGATTTTTTTGTATGAATAATGAAGATTTGGGTTTCTATTAATATTAATGTTAAATGGTGGAATTTGTTGGATATGGAATTTTTTATTNCCAACTGTTGCTATTGCACATAAGAAGAACCAGACTGGGCTCATTGTTGGTATTTTAGTAGCTCTCGGAATTTCGAGCTTGATACTGATATTTTTAACTTTTTACATGAGGACAAAAAGCACAATGACGATGCGGAAGGTAAGAGAGCCCAAGAGATTTTTAAATTAATAATAGTTGAAGTATCAGGAACCAAGTTTGTTCAAGAAAGTTTATGAATTTGCATTTCACTTGGGCACAAAGTTAAAGGTTCTCTGGGCATTTGAGAAAAGTAGATTCCAGAGAAGTAAGAATTTTGTCCTAGTGCAACTGAGTTTGTTCATGAAATAGGCAAAGCTGCTGGTGTAATTCATCACTTGTCGTGCAAATCCTCAATGTTATGTAATCTTGCTTTGATATGCAGTGCTACTTGGAATAGGACCTGAACTCAAAACTTTCAGTTATGCCTAGTTGAGACCTGCAACATAAGACTTCGACCCTCCAAATAAGCTTGGCAAGGGAGGATTTGGACCTGTGTACAAGGTAACTTTTGTATCTTACATTTACATTTTTGATTTACAAGTTACAAACAATGTTTAGCACACAGGGAACTTGGGTTGCAATGTTGTATTTGAAATGCATTATCATAGTTTAACACTATTAACAAGAAAACTAGGTGAATTTCAGCTTTTGGATACTCACCAAAGATGTAGCATATATAATTTATGTCTATAAATCTGGTGCTACAGTGTATGATTTCTGATGGAAGGGTTACAGCTGTGAAGCAACTTTCTCTAGGATCCCTCCAAGGGTAAAATCAGTTTGTTAATGAGATTGCTACCATAACTTCAGTGCAACATTGCAATCTTGTGAAATTGGATGGTCGCTGCATTGAGGGAACTAGGCTCCTCTTTTTTTATGAGTACCTTGAAAACAAAAGCCTTGATTAAGTATTGTTTGGTATGAGGATGCTAATTGATGATCAACTTTAGTTTAAAATTTCTACTTTTGCTTTTCTTGCAAGCAACTGCAATGTTAATGCATGTGATTTCTCTCCTATGATTTGCTTCCAGTTATAAACAATAAATCTTTAAGTACAAAATACTATTTTGCTGACTTTCAAATGTTTTAACCATTGCAAGGTTTAAAGAAACAAATATCTGTTCTCCTATGTAAATTGTGTTTAGTTATATATATATATATAGAAAAAACTGCAAGTTTAATGGGCAAATAAGAGCACAAACGGGTTTGAGCTGATTGTAAAAGTTTTATTGAGCTCCAAATTGTTTATGGGGATAAATTGTCCATGAATCCTCAGTTATCCATATCAATAACTCTTGAAGTTCTTAATGATTGCAGCCATGTTTCTGCAGGAAGAAGGGAATTGCATCTCAATTGGCCTACCCGGTTCAATATATGCTTGGGAACTGCAATATGTCTAGCATGTCTTCATGAGGATTCTAGGCCAAAGATTGTACATCAAGACGTCAAGGCAAGCAATATTTTACTCGATGCAGAACTCTGCCCAAAGATATCAGATTTTGGATTGGCCAAGTTGTATGATGACAGAAAAACTCACATCAGCGCCAGAGTTGCAGGGACCATGTAAGCTCCTTCAATCATTCCTTGACTACCATTCTTCCTTAATACTCCTTTTAGAATGTGCTGCAGAGTATTTCAAAACATCTAGTGGATTTTGTTGTGAGTATTTCAAAGTGCTCATCATGCTCAACATACATGTATTGATGAGAATGACTATGAGAGCAATAAATGTATGTTGAGAAACTTTTTGTGTCATCTTTGATAATGATGTAATTGTTTTGTATTAGGAAAGATTTGCTAACTTATAAAGCTTTTCACTTTGTAAAGGCAAGTGGGCGCCTGGAATAGGGCTGATTATTGAATCCAGTTTGAGAGCAATCTATATACCGAAGCTTTTCTTTTGGATTTTAACCTTGAGAAACATTCATTTTCTTGCAGTGGCTATCTGACACCAAAGTATGGAAAGCTTGGACACTTGAAAGAAAAGGCTGATGTATCCAGTTTTGGTGTTGTTGCTTTGGAGATTATCAGTGGAAGGGCAAACTCTGAGACTAACCTGGATAGGGAAAAGATTTATCTTCTTGAATGGGCACTTTTACCATTTTTTTTTTTTAATGCTTTCTTCTATGTATCCTAGTGTTAAAAAAACTTATTCCTTGAATTGTCTCTATGGTATTTGTAGGCCTGGAGTCTTCATGAAAGTAACCGAAGTTTGGGGCTGATAAATTCCCAATTATCTGAGTTCAATGAAATTGGCACTGTACAAGTAATAGGAGTTGCACTCTTGTGCACTCAATTGTCACCAATGTTACTGCTACCAATGTCACGCGTTGTTAACAGCTTGCTGGAGACATCGAAGTGGAAACTGGTGCTTCAAAGCCAAGTTATTTGACTGATAAGGATTATAAGGACATAACAAATAGCCTTTTGAACAAAGATACTGTTACATCCTCATCGACAAGAAATTATAGCAGAAAGAAGAGCCAATGTGGCAGTGTAACTGATCTTAGCCCTGGAGTTGATCCATTGCTCTCCAGAATAAGCCCCTGGGTTCAGTGACATAATTGCAGAGGGGAGGTGAGAAATTTCTTTACTCACTGAAACTGAGTGAATAACACCGCTCCTTGTATACCACAACTATTAATTGCACAGTGAATTTGAAGACCATCATATTAGATGTATATAGAGAAAACCTCTGTATAGTTCTTCTGCAACAAGCTTGTTTGGAATCTCTTTTGGAATTTCTGGATATTGGAAGTTTCAGCAGTATGTATAATTTTGGGAAATTGCTGCTATACAGGGGTAAGAATACAGCAATCGACAGAAGTTTTGTAATATTGTGTAGTTTAAGATGTGATTTTTGTGGCATGGAATGTCATATTTGTAACGTTTCAAATATTTTTCATTTGAATTTAACCGTCAATGTGACAAATATGGATTTATTGTATATGCAGCTTGTAAGGTACTAAGGTTTGGATATAGTTGTATAAAAGTTTCAATCACTATATAACTCAAGGATATACTTGCTGATTTGGGATCTTTATTATGCTTTTCTTAGATTTTAAGTATTTACATTCAAAATCAGGTTAATGCTCATATAGTCCTGAGAGATCATTTAATTCAGTCGGCGATCGATACTTACTGTCTCTTATAAATAATATATGTGAGCACTACAAAATTAATAGATCAATGTTTAATGGCATGATTTAAAAAAAAAAAAAAAAAAAAAAAAAAAGAACCGAATAACATTTTCTTATGTTTCGTGAAACAACGATTCCACCTTTAGTTTCGTAATCTAATATGTGCCACCCAACATGACTCTCCGTCCATCAAAATTATAACTTGACCAGGTTTGACTGTTTAAAATTCCAAAATTATTCTTATTTATTCATTATTTTCAAAAGAGTAAACGACATGTTCCCACCCAAGGTTTGACGAAATCCCAAGTTAGTACTACTGGTTTCATTTATTCCAGATTCCCACCCTTAAAGTGACGGAAAAACGTTTGATGTAACGGTAAAGGGGTAAATTGGTCATTTTACATGGGCGGCGCACGTTAGCAGACCACCGCCTCTAACAGTCCTCCGGCGCACGTTAGCAGCCGTCGTTCNCACATCTTAGTTGTAAAAGGTAACATAGGAGAATAGGAGGTTCATGAGATGAGAAAGAGCTAGTTTGAGTCTACTTTGACTGAACGGGAAAGTATCACTGTAGATCTTTGAATAACAATTTTGTTGTGTAACCTTGGATCCTTTATCATGAATATGTTGTGGTTGACAATGATTTTTGAGATGGTGACAAGTTGGATTTCTGGATTGAAGTTAGTAGGTTTAACAAACTATGACTGTTTATGTTCATTTGTTTGAGAAAATATGAATTCAGCCGTATTGGAAAGGCTTTCAGTTTGCTTGGAGTTTTCTATTCCCCGACTTAAGCAAATGAGTGATTTCTTTGTGCTCAAAGTTCAAATCCCCTTAGGGCCATCTACTTAAAATAGGGAATTATGAATTTAGGTACAATGTTTTGTCGAAATGATTAAAAACGGACACAAGTTTTAAATCATTCAATTTAGGATTTAAGGGTCATTACAGTTAACTTTAGCAGAAAAACCGAAAAGTCTTAAATACCCCTTAATGTTTATTCAATTTAGGCATCCACTTTCATTATGGAATTGATAAGTATATTCATTCAATTGCACATGTTAAGTCAAGTTCATCAAAACCAAATACAATTTTACCTTAGAGAGAGGAATGTGTGTTAAGAAATTTGAACAACTGCTTTAGGATTGATTAGCTTCAAAGGAATGGAATTCTTCTTCTATAGCTGGATAGGTTAGTCCGGCCAGGAGGCTATTTTGCCTTCTCGTCTCCAGACAGGATGAAGAGGTTCTAAGAATTTGGAAACAAATGAGCACCGTTGTGGGAAAGATGAAAATAGCTTCCAAACAGAACCAAATTGTTGTTTGGGTTAAACCTCTGACAAATGATTGTTACATGGATAGAACACCTACTACTGAACCTCCACTATGCAGATGTCATGATGATCCAGATGTTACGTGGGGTGTGCACTCCTTACTCTGACCGTAAATGATATTGCGCGATCTAGGCACTCCGAGACAGATATTGGCCAGTGGTGCTGGCGACTAGTGGTGCTGCTTTTAGTTTTTCTTATATGTTCTTAGTTTTAGTTTTTGATTTTTGATTTATTTTTAATTTTTTTTTAGTGGAGGACTAGTTGTCAGCATTTCATTGGAGAAAAGTTTTTACATGTCAATGTTTTAATAGATAGAAGATTTTTAGTTGAATTTTTTTATCATTTATTTTTTAATTTATATAATATAAAATTACTCAGAGATCTCTATTTGATGTTAAGTGTAACAACTATTTACGGTTGTACATCTCTAAATTAATGATTTGAAACTTGTGTCTGTTTTTTATCATTTTGACAAACATTGTGCCTGAATTGATAATCTCCCCTTTATATTATATTTCACGAGAATCTTCACAACTGATATTGTAGGTTTTGGAAGTAGCCCCAGTTTAGAACTCATTGAACATGTAGGAGACAGTCAATCTGTTTATACAAAAAAAAAAAAAAAAAAAAACCGTCAGATATGTTCTCAACTAGAAAGTTATTCTTGTGATCATGTTTTAGTGCAAATTGACATTTATCCAACTTAATTGGGTGGAAGTTATTCTTGTAGTAATCTTTTTTAGTGAATTTTACATTTATCAAACTTAATTAGGTGAACTTGCCCCTTTTAATTTATTCAAACTTGAGTTAGAAGAAAATATAATTTGGTAGTATCATTTTTTTTTATTTTTTATTTTTTTGTTTATTCTGTAAGCAAGTATTCTGATATCCTTTCACATTTTACTACATAATTTAGGCAATTGGGGAAGATGGGTTGATTTATAACTTACCCCATCTCAGTGCAGAATGGGTTTGGACAGACCAGTGGTCAGCTCTAGAAAAAGAGAATTATCTTATACATCTTGACCAAACTGTACTATTGTATTATGTTCTGTCTTCGATTATCATCTGAGTTTACCTATAATAGTCATAATTGTATAAGTTGCAATCTGGACTTAGTGCTTTGATGACTCTTTTTGGAAGTTTTATTTTTAACCTTTATTTATATGAAATTTATGCCTAAGAGGCAATGAAGATATTATTTTAAATAATGTTGAGGCAATACTAATGATACTCTTCTTTATATTATATTTTATCATGCAGCTGCATTTGGAGCAGTTTTGCATGTAATATCCACTTCACTTCTTGGAATAACAGCAATCACCATGGCAAACACTATTGCTGGTGAAGAAACAGTGCATAAACTTGCTTCACTTTTGCTTGTAGTTCTTGGTGGTAGCTATATCTTGTTGTTTGTGTCTGGGAAGGGTGGCCACAGTCATTCTCACAACCAGCCAATGGAGAAAATGGCTGTTGCTGGGCTTGTTCTTGTTCCGGCATTATCTCCTTGTGCAACCACACTTCCAGTGTTTCTTGCTGTTGGGAATTCATCCTCCATGATGGTACTTGCCATCATAGTGCTTCTATTCAGGTATCAGTAATGAAGGCATAAGAAAAATTAATTAATTTATTCTGGTTTTATGTTATTAATTTATGACAATCATGAACAATAAGTTTCCTCAGTCTGTTTGACCGAGCAAAAACTAATTTGGAGCAAAGCTGGCTAAAAATTGCATAGGCCACAAGAAAGTTTCATATAGGCTGACAAATGGAAACATGATCCATTAATTTCTCTCTCCATAATGTGTCATCATTTATTTTCATCAATTCCATATATATACGGATGTGAAAGGGTTCCATGGACCATAATTGCTTCATGTAGCTTCCCTTCTTAAATGAGCAATTTGAGGGTCAGTTTAGTTGGGTTCAATTCTTAGTAATGCTATCATCTTTCAATATGTCCCGCTAGATTCAAGTTTAAATACTTTAGAGTTGGCTTCTCACTTCCATATCCCTAATTGACTGATTGCAGAAAGTGTTGTGACTTTGTGGATTTTCTAGTTTCTAAACTCGGGTTGTTCAATTTTATATATTTAATTACTCTGCTGCAGTTACTATGTACTCAATTGCTATAAAGTTAATACATTACCCAACATGCTTGACTGAATGGTGTAATGTTTATTAAGATTATCAATCGGATGATATCATGAAGCTTGAGATTGAGAAAAGATTATTGTATTTTTCGTTGCAGCACGATAACGGTGATGACCTCACTGGTGGCTCTATCATTTTACGGCGCAAGCCAGTTGAAATTTCATTGGGTGGAGAGGTATGACAAACTTCTTGTAGGATCAGTGCTATGCTTGGTTGGAATCTTGACACTTGTTTTTCATGATCATGATCATGATCATGGTCTCGGAGCTTCTACTGGAGAGCATTTAAATAGGAAACTTATTGCCTTTTAAGAGGTTGCAACTAGTGTTTGTTACTATATATAAAATGCCTACATGTAATTGTGAACCAGTGACCACTGCATGTAAACGGTTGCTTTGATGGAGGGGTTTGTTTGTTTGTTTTACCACTTTTCACTTAATTCACTTATTAGAAAAAGGAAAATTTTGTAACTTAAATCTAAACATTGCAAATTTTTTAAGAACATATTAATCAAATAACCTAATATGCTCTTATGCATAATAAATATAATTTATTTAAAATATTAAATAAGGTTTAAAATTTATTTATTTAATAAAGGGATACTTATAGAAAACCCACAAATGTTTGTCAAATTAGTAGATATCACAAAGATTAAGAAAATATTGTAGATGATAGGGGTGGGCTAGTACCTGTGAAGGAATCGGAATCGCCAGTTCTGGTTCCTTAATAGTTGGAATTGGAACCTGTTTTATATACCCACCCTTTTTTGAAGGAATTGGAATTGGAATCGGAATCAGAACTTTCAGTACTGGTTCCTTAATAGTTGGAATCAGAATCGGAATTGTTAGTATTGATTCCTTAATAGTTAGAATCGATACCTATTTTACCAGTTTCGGTTTTGGTTCCGGGTACTCGGGAAAATTGTAATTGGTCCTTATTTGCTTCAAAAATAACAAATAAACCCTTATAATATTACAAATACATGCCCATCTCACAACGAATCTTGATCGTTGGATTATAACTCATGTACCAATCACTTTGAAAAGCTTTTTTTAAAAGCCAAAACCCTAAGCATTGCCTGCAAACAAAAACAAGCCAAGTTCTCTCCTTTCTTCTCCTATCTTCTTCTTCTCCACACAAAACCCTAGCCAAGGTAGCCCTAAATGTTACGTCTATCTCTCTGCTCCCTTCGTCTTCGAACAAACAAGCCATCTTCTATCATTTCGTCTCTTATCTTCTTCTGTTAGTGTTTTAATCAAAGATAAACGCAGCAGAAAACAAAAATTTATAGATTAAAACCCTATAAGTCCCGAAATCCATATATGAGCATAACGATGTTCATATGCTATAAATCAAACAAGACCAATGAAAGATTCAGAATCTTACCAACGTTTGGAGGCTCCGCCTCTTTTCGGATTTGGATGAAAACGCTCACGATCCAACTGTAGGATTGAACCAACAATATCCACACAAATGCAAGATTCAACACAAATGATTTACGAGATTATTTGTGTAGTCTACACAAGATGAGTGAGATAAAGGATTGAGAGAAAAATTCTCTCAATGAACCTTTGGCATTCGCAGCCAAGAGAAGAGAGAATGAGAGTTATTTGATTTTTAGGAAAAAGTGCCATTTTATAGTGTTGCCCTAAAAATCCCTTGAACAATTATTTACCATAATGCCCTTCCACTAATTAAATAATTAGTGTCCATAATTCCGGAACAAAATCATATATTGGGTATTGACATGTTATTTTTTTTATCCTTTAATAAAATTCTTTCAATATTTAAAACATATATACACCAATATATACATTTAAATACTGACGGTTTATTTATTTACAATATATATACGAAAATATACTTATTTAAATAAATAACCAATCTTACATATTAAATCTAATAGGGGATTGGATCTAGGCAACAATCTTTCCAGCAAATTTAACTGCTCTGTAAGATTTACCAAAATACTCCTTTGTCAACAAATGACGAAAATACCCCTCACATATTATCTTCTTTAGATTGCCTTATATGTGTGTGACCCAAAAACTCCCCATCATGCTAGTAGTGCATAATATCGCGTTTAAAACCCAATCAACCTTTCATTATACACAAACCAAGATTGTCCCCTAGTAAGACATCATGGCCACCTAATAAATTCATATTTAGCGTATTCACTACCTGTCAAAAGTATGGTTATCGAGCAATCAGATCCTTTCATCATCTATTGTCTCATCAAGGTTTGAAGCATAAAAGTAATGTCGGCTTCAAGTATAAACCACCTTGAGATGTTCAGACTCAGTTATTGGACCAATTGACCAATCAAGCTTCAACTCGATTCCACTGTGGCCACAGATTCTAAAGTCGTTGTCCTTCACTGGAATCTCTCCGAGATAATATCACCTATACACAAGAGTGATGATTCCTTTGTCAATCCACCATAATCATGATGTACTTCTAAATGTAGTTAATCACTCCCATACTGATAACCCTATCAGGATTACATTTGGCTAGTGTCAAACTACACCAATAGGTACACACGGCGCTCTAGTGATCTGAAGTCTAAGGACCACATGCACAATCATATGTTAAAGGATGTATTCCATGGACATTGGTGTTACCATCTATATGAAATCCTCTGATGGGTCAGTCCGGTGAACTCGTGAATAACAATCACCCATGCGTCACACTAAGTTGTCATCAAACAACCTTGACATGTGAGATTAGTCACTACCTTTCGATAGGGTCATTCAACACTATGATAATTTTACCATATTATCTATGCCCTTGGTCAGGATAATACTCCGGCTACGGACATTTCTAGGATGGCCACCATAAATGATCATAGGGATCTCACAATCAAGACTTATCACTACTTGATTCTCTCATCACGGTTCAACCACTCTAAGAACACATATTAATACATACATATGAAATATGTTTTACATAATATAATCAATTCCTTTTTTATATATTGAATATTCATGATCCACATAGTCAACATACAACAATATGATTGGCTCAAGAGCACCTACACTAATATCTTCTTCCCCACACAAAAGCTAGCCAACAAAGAACACCCTATTGTAGATCTCTCTTCTTCTTCTTCTTCTCATTTTCCTTTTCGCATTTATCAAAAGAGGATCTATACAGAATTGATTTTTTTTAAGCTTCGTTGATTTTTTTATTAAAAAAAAATGGCCAAATTGATTTTTTTATGCGTTGTTGATTTTTTTGTATGAAAAATGAAGATTTGGGTTTTTGTTAAATGGCCGGATTTGTTAATATTAAACTGTTGGATTTGGATTTCATGTCTTTTCATTTTTCGTGTGTTGTGTTCAATATCGATGAGAATAAAATGAATAGAAAAGATATAGTTATTTTTATTAAGAAAATTGTTTTTTGTGTTGCTGTGTTCAGTATGGGTGAGAAGAAAATAAATGGAAAAAATAATTTTTTTTTTTTTAAAGAAATAAAAGTTATTTGCAGTGAATTAATTCTAATAACAAGGGTAAGGAGATCAATTAAATTCAGCTGTGAGTACAAGAAAAAATTCCAGAAGAAATCATATAAAATTTCTAGTGAATTACAAAATTTTAAAATGGTCCCTATATTTTTATAACATTTCAATTTAGTCTTGAGTCCAAGGTCCAGTTCGGGTTCTTGAGGTGGTAGAATCGGAACCGGACCCGCACAATGCCAGTTCTTGATTTCTAGAATCGGAACCTACCTTGTGAGGGTCGGTTCTGGGTAGGGACCAGAATCAGAACCTGGATACCCGTTAGTTCCGATTCTAGTTGGTTCATTTGCACACCCCTAGTAGATAACCTCCACTCCGTTAATAATCATAATGAAAATCTATTAATTATTAAAATGACATTTTTACCCTTTAACCAAAATATGATAAATTGTTCTAAACTATTTAAATTTATAAATATGAAATAAATTATATAAAATTTCACTTAAGCTATAAAAAGATTCTTTTTCATCCCCAACACATTTTTTATAAATATGTCTTCATTTTAATCCCATCCAAACAAAATCTTCTTCACCAAAATATTCAACATTTTTGTATCTTCACCAAAGTATTCAACAGTTTTGTATCTTCACCAAAGTATTCAACAGTTTTGTTTCAATTTTTTTTTTCCACAACCAAACCTTTATTCAAGCTTTGCAAAATTTTAACACAAAATTTCTAATTCTTAGAATCCATTGAACCCACAATTAAAAAAAAAAATAACATAAAAATTATATATATAAAAAGTTGGTGGTTGTATAGTGCTGGCTAGATCAAACGACCATGATCTAGCTGCCGCTTCATTGTACCATGCTACAAAAGCCTTTCACAAGAACTCTTGTGAGATATTGACACAAAGTTTCGCAAATATGATGATGCTTGCACTTTCGTATGAAGCATAAGACACAATTTACTTACATAAAATCAAGTTTTGTCACAACCAGCAACAAAAACACGCTAAAGAAACCTTTTACGAGAACTTTTGTGAATATAAGCGGTGAGTTTCACAAATACGATTACCTAACACTTTTTGGTTGAGTATAAAACATAGTTTACTTACATACAATCGAGTCGCGTCACAATTGGCAATTTGAAAATGCTACGAAGGTTGTACAAAAAACTTTTGCAATATGTAAGCGATGAATTTTGCAAATATGATGGCACTTGCACTTTCGTATTGACTGTGAGACATTGTTTACTTACATTAATCGAGTTGTGTTGCAACAAGTAACTAGAAAACAGTACAAAATCGTTTTACGAGAAATTTTGTGACAAATAAATGTTAAATATGGCTAATATAATTATACTCGCACTTGTTAGAGTAGGTTCCCTAGAGCCAATCCATTTTGTAATGTTGACTCTTCTAATAATGTTTATAATCAATAAAAGGCTTTTTGTACATTATATAATTCATATTTATTGTATGTTATAATGTATGTCCTTAGGATGGTAGAACCGTGAAAAGAATATCGAGTGTTTCAAATCTCGATAGTGAGAACCCTATGATCACATATGGTGGCTATTCTAAAATTATCCGAAGCCCTAGTATTATTCTGAATAAGGACATAGATAATACGATAAGGCTATCATAGTGTTGAATGATCCTACCAAAAGGCAGTGACTGATCTCACTTGTCAAGATTGTTTATTGACAACCTGGTGCAACACATGAGTGTTTCCCATAGGCAAGTTCACCAAATAAACCCACCAGAGGGTTCCACATAGATGGTAACCCCAATGTCTGTGGAATAAATCCTCTAACGAATGGTGGTGCATGTGATCCTTAGACTTGAGATCACCGGAGCACCTTGTGCACCAATTGGTGTAGTTTGACACTAGCCTAACATAGTTTTATTCAGAACTATCTCAGAACAATAGTGATTGGCTACATCAAGAAGTGTATCAATACTATAGTGGATTGACAAAGGATTCATCACTCCCAGGTACGGAAGAAATTAACTCATTGACCAATTCGGTAAATGGCAAGGACACTAAATCTGTGGCCACAGTGGGATTGAGTGTAGCTCAATCCAATCTATTTTCAGTCATTGATCCAATAACCGAATACCAAGATGTTAGGGATATTTGAGGTTGACACTACTTCTGTACCTCAGCCTTGATGAGATAATGAATGATAAAATGATTTGATTGCACAATAACCATACCGTTGATAAGTAAGTTGTGTTAGTGAACGACCCACTTACGCAGCGGAAAACAAAAAACATAAATGACATGGATCGTTCCTTAGAACCAAGATCCGAGTATAATATCACAGTTTATACAGTACATAAATTAAATCTACAGAAAATCAGATTCAAGGTTCAATAATCTTATGCATATTTGGAGGCTCCTCCAACTTTGTCCTTGAGCGTTTTGCTACTGACCCAAGTGTAGGACCGAACCGACGTAGTCCACACGAAGATAATCGCAAGGAATTAACGAGGGATTTGCTAGATCCTCCTTAGCCTTAAGAAACAAAGAAGAAAATGAGTATTTGATTTTTGGCTAAACCAAAATCTGGCGTGGGAGAGAAAATGGGGCTATAGGGTTTTTCACTTTTCAATGAATAGTGAATGAATAAAGAAAGGCTCTCTCTTTTTTCAATTAACACTTTTCTTTTATAGTGTTATTTTACTTGCCCTATTCCCATATGGAATGGACTTGGGTTCAAACCCAAACACCCCATGTTTCCAAACACCCCCTAATTAGATATTTATTTTAATTCATCATTATCTTCAATTAAAATCAATTAATATATATTTAATATATATATATATACCCCCTAATTAGATATTTATTTTAATTCATCATTATCTTCAATTAAAATCAATTAATATATATTTAATATATATATATATATATTAACATTTAACAATAATGATAATTTATTTAAATATATGCGAACACATATTTAAACGTAATTTCACTTATTTAATTTTTTTTAATAAATTAAATAAAGGCTACGACCTTGGCAAATTTAATTGCACTGTAAAATTACCAAAATACCATTTCGCCTAAAAAGAAAAAAACGCCATTCTTTCTTCTTAGCTCTTAAATTATCTTCTATGTGTGTGA